CTCAAAATACAAATCAAAACTTAAATTTAAAAAAAACAACAAAAAAAAGGAATTGGCAGGACGGGGTTCGATCCTGGGCAATACAGTTCAAAAACCGACGTCCTAACCATTACACCATTAGGCCACATATACTTAGCAATTATGTCTACACTCGATATATGTGTTAAAGAGAGCTTTACATTTAACCAACTACACAGGGGCAAACTCAAAGTGAAGTGAAGTGAAACTCAAAAACTTGAAACTATGAAACTCTATTATTTTAAATATATAGATTGTGAATGATTCATTCACCTGATTAATCTACACTGTAGATTCTACACTATTTCATTGTGATACATTTATCACAACTCTAACAAAACTCTAGCAATGTGCTATATTTTAAATACATATAAATGTAGAATTGTATCTAGCTTAATTCAATATAAATCTTAATTCAAAATCAATAAACTTATAATAAATCAATTACACACTCGTTATAGCAAAAAATCATTCAGTTAATAGCAATTGCTATAAATTACATCGAGAACTAACTGTATGTTTTGAGTGTCAATAGTCACACGATATGTGATAACAACATTCAATTATATTTATATACACCATATTTGTTATCACAATCAAAGTTCATGTTTTGTAATGATTGCACAGTTATTTATTAATACAATTGTAATTTCAAATAACAGTAATATCGCTTGGGGTATTGGGGTTGGGGCTGAGGTGGTGGAGTTTACAGTTTAATCATGGTGGTATATTCACTTAGGTAAATTAATTTACACTGCTAATTTAATTAAATATTATTCATTAATTTTTAATATCTGCCTTATCATTGATTTTACTCTTTTTTAAACAAATATTAAAACTATGTTATAAATACCCTGTTATGTGCAAAAAACATGATATCATTCGCTGTGTAATCAAATAAATGTTTTACAATAGAGGGTTAATGTTACAATCATTTTACTGTTAGTTTATATGCAATATTTATGTCATATGTTTTACATAGCATTGTTTTTTGTACACATCATTTGTATAATAATGTTTTACAAATTAAAAGTAAATATTTTTGTATAATAAATTAATTTTACAATTTAGTGAATTATAATTTAATTATCGCATAACTATTTTTAATTAATTTACACTGTTTATAACTCAAATAATTTTAATAAATTAATAATAATTTATTGGATATCAGATAATCAAATAAGTTAATTGTGAGGTATATATGCAAAGTTGTAAATAGTATTCAAATGATAAAAACCGATTGATTCCAGTGCTAATCAACCCTCACAACGACACCCACCACAGCCTACCAGTGCTATCGACTCAATATAAACTCATTATATATTTCACAGGAAATTTATTAATTCATTTCATTTGGCGCTATTACTTAATATGCAACTTATATTATAACACAACTAATAATTAATAATTAAACAAGTATTATTTATACAATTAAAATAACAACATAATTAACGCCAAACAATATTTTGTGAATATTCTGTAATTTATTATGTGATATGAAATGTTTTACAAATAATTAGTTAATTAATAGTAAAAGTATTAAATAATTTATATATATTGTGTATAAAAAGTTTTTATACTCAAACCATAACCAAATGGCCAATTGGTTGGGAGCACTCATACGCACAAAACCTATTGAAAAGTCGCCAATAACTGCCACTAGACTGGAAAGATGTTTGTCCACTCTAGATCTAACAATGCTAGGTAAGTTTTTAAATGGATAATTAATTTAACAACTTATAAAAACTACATTGTTATTCAATAGGTATCGGTTCTACGCTAGGTCTGGGCGTATACATACTGGCCGGTCAGGTGGCCAGTGTTAAAGCTGGTATTATTAACCACGATCTATTGTAGTTATTATGTGTCTGATTAACCCTAATGTATTAATAGGACCATCCGTTACACTAAGTTTCTTCATTGCAGCCGTGGCTTCAGTTTTTGCCGGACTTTGTTATGCGGGTTAGAGTTTTATCATTGACGTTAATGTTTATTTATTTATACCATGATTTAAGTGGTGTTGATAACAAGCCAAGTGTTGATTTGCATATAAATTCATATAATTATTAATATTTTTGATATTTTACATATTTATCACGTGTTGTGTCAATAGCTTCATATTTATAATTAGTATCAAAATTACTTATTTAAAAGTTTATTTTGTTATCAATTTGTATACAGAATTTGGAGCTCGAGTCCCAAAATCAGGTAAAAATTACATTTATATTTATTATAGGAATTTCTCATTCTGTTTAGCAATTAAAATAAAAAATAATAAAATATTTTATGCCATTAGGTTCTGCTTATGTGTATTCGTATATAACTGTCGGCGAATTCATGGCATTCATTATCGGCTGGTGTTGTAAACTAATACTTAAATTATTATTATTATACAACATTTAATTAATTTCATTAACTAATTGCAAAAATTAAAACAGGAATTTAATACTGGAGTACGCGATCGGGTCGGCGTCAATAGCCCGGGGCTACAGCGGGTACGTCGACTCCCTGGCCAACAATCAGTTACAGATACACTTCAAACGGTGGGCGCCCCTCGACTTCGGCACATCACAGTATTTTGACTTTTTTGCCTTTTCTATTGCAATACTAATCGCAGGTCAGAATCGCTTCATGTAATTGCACTTAAAATGTAATTTTTAATGTAATTTTACATTAATTATTTTATTTAAACACACATGTTTAATTAAACTTACCATCTTATTAATCCTATTCCTAAACAGCACTGTTGGCTATGGGGGTAAAAAAGTCGACTAAACTGAACGCCGTGTTCACCGTTATGAACGTTTTGGGCGTGATTTACGCCATCATATGTGGCTGTGAGTTAGATCACGTGATTTAGATTACGATCATGTTATTTGTTTAACACCTGTGCACGTATTAAATGATGATTACATTTTTGCAAACACAGCATTCAAAGCCGATATACATAACTGGCAGATACCGGCCGAAGATGTGCCCAAAGGTGACGGTTCCGGAGGTATGTCTAGTGATAACTATTAATAATTTACAATTACTACAATTCACGGCATAATAATAACAATCATAATTAACAATTAACATTTCATTGTCACACAATATAGGGTTCTTTGCGTTTGGTTTTACGTAAGCAAACAAATAAATACAACCATTATAAACAAACTCGCATTATAGCACCATGATCAATTCAATCTATTCCAATCAGTGGGCTTATGGCGGGCGCCGCCACTTGTTTCTACGGCTTCATCGGCTTTGATATGATCGCCACCACCGGTGAAGAGGTTAAAAACCCGGCCAAAGCTATACCTCTCAGTATTATATACTCACTTCTGGTCATATTTGTGTGCTATTGCGGGGTATCAGCCGTACAAACACTCATGTGGCCATACTATGACCAAAATCAGCAAGCACCTCTACCATACGTATTTACCAAGGTCGGTTACCCATTTGCCAGCTATATCCTAACCGCTGGAGCCATGGCTGGACTGTATTCAAGTAATTACCAGTAATAATAACAATACCAATAATACGAGTTTAAATGTGTTGTATCATGTAATAAAACTATTGGTATATTAATCATGCATTATATTTAGCACAATGTTTAAAATTATCATATTTTATTATCCACGGTTAGGTTTAATGGGAACGATGTATCCGTTGACTCGTGTGCTGTACGCCATGGGAAGCGATCGAGTGATCTTCGGGTTCTTCTCGCGAGTCCACCGCAAACTAAAGACACCGCATTTGGCGACACTATTCGCCGGCATATTTAGTGGCCTTATGGCCGCCCTATTCGAGTTCCAACAGTTGGCTGACATGATGTCCATCGGTATGATATTTCACAGACATGATCTATACATTTGGTCACTCTATGTTTACATCCCATTTACCTACATATCAGGCACACTATTGGCGTACGCTTTGGTCTCAGTATCCGTACTATTACTCCGGTATCAGAAACGGAGTGTCCATCCGGTGATCACCGATGGGGACGACGACCACAACCGGAGGGCAGAGACCCGGAGCGATAGGGAACGGCTACTCTTCACACCAAACAATAGCCTATTTAAACGGATATTCAATGCGGACAACGAGTTAGAGCCCACACAAGAGACCACAACTGCCAGTCGCTATCTTATAGCCATAATATGTGAGTTGTTATACCATGTTTATAATGTTGTTATGACTAATTACATTTTATGATGAATTGAAAACAGGTATTTTAGTGTCAGTATTTGCAGCGCTGGTAGGCTTTATGCCGCAACAGTTATACCATTTAGAGGCCATGGCTTTGGCGCCGGTAGTCATCACTCTATGCCTATTAACGGTGTTTATGATTGCGTTGAGACGACAGCCGCAGACCGCGGAGCGACTGTCGTTTCGGATACCGGCCGTACCGTTAGTGCCGGTGCTCTCAGTATTTGTCAATATATATCTGATGATACACTTGTCGAGCCTAACGTGGATCAGGTTCGGCGTTTGGATGGTTCTAGGTAATCATTTATTTTATCACGTTTTTAATTGTCAATACACTGTACTCCCGATTTTATAAACACTTTTAATTTAATATCAATAATAATAATTTACCTTGTTTAATATGCTACTCATTTAATGAACAGTTTTGTCTTTAATACAATTTTGTTCATAAAATTGATGAAATAGTGAAACTAATTGACAAGTTACATTTTTATACCACTTGTATTTAAACTGATTATACAATTAATACCATGTTATCCATAGGAATGTTTATGTATTTTCTGTACGGAATCATTGAAAGTATCGGTCATTTGAGTGATAGTCAGAAGCGGTTGTATTTGCGCGAAGAGGACGGACGACGACCCTCACAGAACTCGTACGCCTCGACAGCCACTGACCCAACCCTTACGCCCAATACACCGGTCTTGTCGTCCACCAGACGTGATGTCCAACCCATCCATTCATCCCATACTCACAGCTCAGATGACGGAAACGATGAGGAAGTGGTGGGAACTGAAGATCAAATGATTACTGATGATAATTCAGATCAAACGCAAGTGATATTGTCTGCTAATTGTGTTCATAAAACTAATGATGAAATACAAACGATGTCTAATCAGACAATTAGTAATAATATATAACGACTCATACCTTTTATAACAACATTTAATTTAATTGATTTGTATGTTAATTATTTTTAATTTAATATTCGTATTAATTTTTACAATTGATTATTCGTTTAAATCTTAAACTGAATTTTTAATAATCAACTAATAAATAATTAGTCAAATAAATATTGGCTTCTAATTCAGTATAATTAATATTTTTTCAAACACTGGTTTTAATATAAATTTCTTCTAATTCTCAAATTTCTGGGTATTTGTCGACCAATAGTGAGATCTCCGGTATTGTTGTGAACACAGATTGTGAACCATTTCTTGGGATCTATTGAATACCAATCCATGAAATCAGTGATAAATTGGTGGCAATTGTTTGTGTAGTCTTCAGGATTGCGAAGAACATAATAATTCAAATGAACGGCCGATAAATTGTGAAATTCATTGAATTGTTTACACAAAACGGCTGTTCTTTCAATCAAATCATCATAAGAAAGACCGAGTGTTTTGATTGTCGTGTGTTTTGCGATCAAATGAAACATTTGCCCAAAACATGTCAAACAATTGTATGTTTCAAACTCACATTTGATGGACACGTTGTGTAAGACCAGAGTCTTAAGCACTGGAAGACATTTCACGATTGCTTCAAACGTCGCCTCATTTGGTTCGCATCCTTTTAGTGAGTGTTTTGACTTTTGAAAACTGATACAAAGTCTCTGTGTATTCATAATCGAGAAAATCTTGATAATCGAGACCCAGATATACGAGATTTGTCTGCTTTTGGGCCACTCTTTGCAAACAATGCCATTGATTTGGTTCAGTAAACAAATCATATGAAAACGCTTTCAATGCCATACCATTGATAATCACTTCCAACGCATCACTAGTCATAGAATCAGATGAATTTGAAATATAAAGAGAATCCAATTTTTTAGCATTGCTTTCAACCAATGTTTGCGCCATTTGCTGATCGATGTCTGCGTCGGCCTCGAGTTGTAATGATTTAATACTCTTCGCTAATGTCTTGAATACTTCGGAAATAATACTTTTACTAAATGGAGTGACGCATAGATTTGTTAATCCGGTTAACTCTCGGATCAGTTCAAACATATGTTCAAAGTGTGCAAAATACGGATTTAGTCCAAAATGAGTGATATTTCTCGACAACAATTGTCCCAAACGTATGGTTTCATCGACTGTGAAATCAGCGGAAACGTCAATATATAACTTTTTCAACGATTGCATGGCATCGAGAATATCATAAAGTGTTTGACACTCAATGTTTGGTAACTTTTGTGACAACGAAAGTATGCGTTCTTTACTGTAGATAAGGCGTCCGTTTCCGTATATATTGATCTCAAGAATATATGGGAAAATTCGGGGAATGATATCATCTTTTGGTTGATATCTATTGCTTTTGAAGCAACTGTCGATTGAAAGTGTCTTCTGTTTGCGGAACCAATAGTTGGCGCAAAACTGGAACTCTTTGGAGACTCTCTCCAGGGTATGTAGACACTTTTTCGAAAGACATTTTTTCGAAAGACATTTTTTCGAAATCATTTTTTCGAAAGACATTTTTTCGAAAGACATTTTTTCGAATAAATTAATTTAAATTTACTTAAACTCATTAGATTAAGTTCAATTGCTAATAATATCATTAGTTAAGTTATTATAAGTTAGTTTAGGTTAGTTTAGGGTAGGTTAGGTTAGGTTAAACTAGTTAATTCTTTAATTTAAATTAATTTTTTCGAAAAAATGTCTTTCGAAAAATTGGTTTCGAAAAAATGTCTTTCGAAAAAACGTCTTTCGAAAAAATGTCATAGAATCCTCTCCAGACGTATGAGTGAATGGATCTCGAGGTATGAGAAGATCTCAATCACTATATCGTAGTTCAAGACAAATGTCTTCAGACTCTTAGCGGTATTTCCGTCGGTTTCGGCACTCATTTTGAACAAAATGCTTGAAACAATCATTTTAAACTAATTTCACTAAAAATTTAATCTCATTTTTGAAAATAAAATTTTAAGTTTTAAATAATACAATGTTTATAAAATAGAAAAAATTGTATTGATCATTTAACATGTTAATTTTATATAAGGTTATTATATTTTCAAATAAATAAACAATGAATACCATGTTATCCATAAAAATGTTTATGTATTTTCTGTACGGAATCATTGAAAGTATCGGTCATTTGAGTGATAGTCAGAAGCGGTTGTATTTGCGCGAAGAGGACGGACGCCGACCCTCACAGAACTCGTACGCCTCGACAGCCACTGACCCAACCCTTACGCCACAAACATTTATA